CACCAGTAAAAAAAGTATATGTGATATATTCACCCTGTTTCGTTTAAGGTGACAAAAGAATGACAGTTTCCCACGATCATATAAGACACCAGTTGACTGCACAGGCATGGCTGATGTCGACCTACCAAATGAGAAAAACAAGCCAACTCTTTAGGACTGGCCTCGACTTGTGGTGCTATCAACTTCGAAGAAGCAGCCGCACATGTCTTCAATTCACCTCAGAAATTCATTACTTCATCCGAGGTGGACTTCTGGTGCAAAATAGAAGCTGAACAAAGCGCTCTTCAGCCGATTTCGTGGCTTGCTCCTCAGCGGAAATGCACCAAAACAGGACGCAGCTCGTCTTCTCAGCCAAGAATGCACATACATGCTTCCTGTCATTGAAATCTGAGGGTGCTGATCATGAAAAGCCTCCTTTACGGTTTCATTTATGCCTTCTTCCCGCTTAATCAGGGCAAATTTTATTTGTGACTATTCCAACGGAAGAATTGGAGCTGTCTGAACATCGTGAAAATGTCATCAAGGCCGTGGAAGAGAAGAACAAATGAGCGAGTTCGAGTCCACCCTTTGGCTGCTTAAGCGTAAGTGGTGGAATTTCCCAATTGACACTGAGAAACAGTCCTCAAAATTGTCGTCCAGACTAGACGAAAGTTTTCATCCCTTCACATCATTGCATCCAAACCCTTGGCGGGACTCGAATTCGGTACAATTACTACTCGACCAGATAGCCACTGCTGTCAGTGGTTTCTGCCCAACATCATCTCAAGCCAACATGGGCCAGTCGTGTTTTCACTCAACTCCTACCGATCCTTTGGAGACCTGCCCCCTTCAGAAAACGGTATCATGATTAAGTTTAATGAAAAATATCCGTTTACCTCGGCGAAATGGTTCTTATTATAGCCGTGACTCAACAGCGGCCTGACTCAACCTGACGTGGATGTACCACTGCCGTAAGACACGCATGACCTGGTCTCTAATCCAGTTGGTAGATTTACAAGACCCCGCCAAGGTAGAAATTGCAATGTAATCCGGCGAGTCTACGCCAGTTTCACAGTCATCTGGACTGCTTCTACTCGATCCACTATCTGTCCTGCGATACCTTAACCAAACGAAGCTGACTCATGCTCTTATGCATGAGATCCTTCTACACCGATCATGAGTGGAAGCGAATCCGACGTGTGCAGGTCTGTTCTTGGCTGTAAAGAACTTCAAAGCCTAGTGATAGGAGCGAAAATTTCGACTAATCTTTCTCATTTACTGGTAGTCCGGAAAACCTACTCACTCACCAAAATGTCAGTCATATTAACAAGGAAAACTGGGCAAATAGCCAAACGAAATGTTAAAAACATTGTAGGCCTTACTCGTTAAACTCCGTTTTCCCTCGGGCCTGGATGGCGAGATGACGGAACCGAGTTGAGTCCCGTCCGGTACTGGTTCGCCTCGACGCGGTCGGGAATCACTGCCAGTCAGACGGAGCAGATGCTGCTGCCACAGGCTCGACTGTATCCGTGACAATTTACCTGACTCCAGGCGACACTTATGCGTGCAGTTCGGTGTAAGTGTGTATGAGCCCTCTCGGTTACCCAGACGACTGTGGTTTTAACAATCAGAGGCTGAATGCTCTCAACTTTCGGTATTTATAACATTGTGGTCAACTGGAGCCGGACGAGGGAATGCATACAAACGCGCAGAAGTCTCCAAAAGCAGGACAAGCAAAATAGAGCGAGGAAGAGTGGATGGAAAAAGGATTGACCGAACAAGCAGAAGATAGTCTTTAAAAGTCATCGTCTATACGTTGCTTGAAGACGGCCATATTGCTGGACGCGATGCCAAGTGGACACCAATGTAATTACTAAATGAATGAATTTTAAGTGACTAAGAAATAAGAGTGATCGAATTAGGAGAGAGAGAGAGAGAGAAAGAGAGAATGAAAAGCGATAAAGATGGGTAGAATCACCTAGTTAGTGCAATTTTCATGCCTTATTGAAAGTAAAGTAGAAAAGTACACTGTGCAGTGGATGGGAGGGGGCA